TTTAATAGGCTCGGCTACTAATATGACATATGGATCGATTTGATAACATGCGGTTAAACATGTATTCAAAGATGATATTGAAATGACAATGTAGTTTGAATGATGCGCCGAACCTCGGTGCATGCAATATGAATGAATGGATGTAAGCATAAGGCATGCTAATTGAAACATGTCCCTAATCTAACCATAAAAAGTGGGTAAATAAAAGGGAGAAGGACGTGTACCAGAAGCACATACACACACGCGCGCACACACACACATATATATATATAAATAGGGGCATAATAGTAATCTTATATTGGGGGCGGGGACGGGCCGGGGCCGGGTCTGGGGCAATAAATGTTATTTCTGTCCCCGGCCTGAAATGTTTCGGGAATTTAATTTCCAATACCATTCCCGTTCCCACGGGGGTATTTTTTGGAGAAAAACCATTCTGATCGGGGTCGGGGGTCGGGTCCCCGTCGGGACGGGTTCAAATTGTCATCCCTAATTATTGTTTCAACTAATTGAGGTTCAATCAGACTGATTGACCATAGTGGCAGCAGCCAAACTTCAGTGTGCTGGAAAAGATTCAAAAGAATCATAAAAATTGAGGTTCATCATCTGGGCATGGCTAGGCTATGATCGATTCTGAAAGCAAAAAGCCAAGTTCCGGTAGTCCACAAGTATGAATTAGAGTGGGCCAAGGATCTTCCATCCCAAAATTCATAATTCTTGTCCCTATTGTATTCCCAACTACATAAATGTGACAAAGTATTACAAAATGTGTCTGGTAGTATATTACAGACAGAAAAATAGAACTTTTGGAGTCAGAAAATTCCGTGTCATTAGAATTAGGGTAAATAAAACTGACTATACTGCAGCATTAAAAAATTACAATAAGCTCCTCAACTTTGGCATAATTACACCGACTCCCATCTAATAAGCCTAAAGGGATCAGAACTAATGTAGATGGTGTAAAATAAAAATTTCAGTTTCAAAAAGATGATAGCATCATTTTCTCATCTATAAAACTAATGAATTACTAAGGAAATGGAGCTGTGTTGTGTGAATTCAACCATTAAAGGAGGTCAATGTAATTATGCCAAACTTGTAAGGCTCAATATTTTTTCTCCAAATCTCAAGAGAGGTTACTCTATGTAATTTACTTTGGAATAAATACTAGGAAAGTTTCTTAGCTATCTTTATTGAAACTTGGACTGGGTTGACACCTACTCTCCAAGTTTACCTGAATTGCAAATCCAATTAGCTCATATTTGGAAAAGTGCTTTGACTGAAGATTCAATGTAGGGCTCTAGGGTGGGCAATGGTGGACCTAGAGTGCCTCCCACTTCTCTCATTGCTACAAGTGACCAAGTTCAGGTTCTTGTGCATTCTTTTCTGTCACATTGAGAGAGTGATACACTAATTCACCCACTTTGACCCATTGAGATATTTGTCGCATGTGCACACCTGTCTTCATGTCTAGAAATCCTCTTTTTTCCTTCTGTTCCAATTTTATTCACAGACATCATATTTTAAAATTTTCATATTTTGAGATTCTTATATGATTCAACGGGTGTGGCTGAATTAGAACAAATAAATAAATAAATAATTTTTGGAATAGAGAGTACTGATCATGTCATAATATATAAATATGTTAGGGGTTTAAATTAAGGGTTTGGTTATGGTGTGTAACTTACACCTTACACCTTATACCTTACACTTACACCTTTTGTAAAAAATTAAACCTTACACTTACACCTTTTTTGAGGTTGCACACCATGTGCAACCCACTTACACCTTACACCTTACACTTACACCTTACACTTACACCTTATACTTATACTTACACCTTACACTTACACTTTTTGTGTAAGTGGCACATGGTGTGCAGTTGCACACTTAAAAAAACTCCTTAAATTAAATATGAGACAGTAGGGTCAGTGGAGGGACAAGGTGTATTGGTGGAAGAAAGAAACTATGATTTTCCAAGAAGACCGGGTTTGGATCTTAATAACACATAACAAGAACTGGAGATTGTGAGGTCAGCAAGCACAACAAGAATGTCAAGAAAAGTCATAAGCATTTCATACATATCTGTCTATGTACCAACATCTAAAACTAGATGAATGAGAGGCAGATGCCAGCAAATTTCACTCTGAACCACAAAAGCATAATATGTGACATGAAATTTGTGATAACATGTCCACTACAGAACCATAACCCACTTGTTTTCATTCATTTAGCAAATGAACCAAGCTCTAACGAGTTTTACATGAGTCGAGCTCGGGCAATTCATGAACAACTTAGTTTCGTTTGCAATCTTAATGTAAAATAAAGAATCCTTGCAACCGCAGAAGAACCACCAAGAATACCTTAATTTGTAAATGCAAACACATGCTTCACTTTTTCAGGGCTCGTTTGGAGCCAACTTTTTACTAGCTTTATTAATCCTTTCTTTTATTTATTTTATTTATTATTTTTTTTTGCAACTTTAAAAGTGCTATGAAAGAGTTCAAAAAAATGTTAATTGAAAAAGCTCATTAAAAAGTCTATTTTTAAACTGACCCAAATGAGCCCTTAGATATTACCCTTGTCCTGTCACAAGGGTTGAGAACAATTTTTTAGGATAAATTACACTGATCTCCCTTGAAGTTTGGAGAAAATACAACAAACCCCAGTTTTGACATAATTACATTAACTTCTCTTTTCATTAAGATTAAAGGGACCGAAACTAATACAAACAATATGAAAACACAAAAATATACAACGTAAAACATATATTTCAATGTAAAAGAAATGACAAGTCATTTTTTTATTCATACAACTAACAAATTTATGATAAAAGGCAGCTAAGAACTATATGAATTAAAATTTTAACTAAACATAGTGTAATTAATTATACCAAATTTGTGAAATTTACTGTATTTTTTTCAAACCTCATGGAGATCTTTAAAATTTATCCATTTTTAATTTGGTACCAAATCTCTGCTTCCCCCTCCCTTCCCTCTTTTTCTATGTTTTTTTGGCAATTACAAGCGGAAAGTAAACGACAAGGGCTGAAGAGACATACTGAGAATTAGGGTTTCTAAGGGAATTTTGCTAAATACGATGACAAGATTATAATCAATCAAATATAATAATTTCTAATAAAAAAATATTGCTAAACGAATCAATATATATATATTTTTACAGGTGAGAAAATTGCAAAATGTTTATTGGTCTCTACCTGAAACTCATTACAGAGTTCTTGCTTCCCTACATCGAGAGATAACCTGGGACATAGAAGGAACCAGCGCATCCACCAAAATTTGGGACAGCAGAGCGTGTTCAACTTTTACTCTTTCTTTTTATCAAATTTAAATTTGATAAAAAAAAAAAAAGGTTTAGACAAGTGCTCGTTTGGTTTTCTCCCTTGGTTAAAAAATTACAAAAGAACAAAAAAAAAATCACAAAAAGACAAAAAATCACAAAATAATAAAAAAAATTTGTCATTCCAGAGTCAAAGAGTTAAAAATCCAAACAAAAAAAATCAAATAAACAAAAAAGTCCTAAGTTAAAAGAGTAAAAAAAAAAAACTAAAAAAAAAAAAAAAAAGGTTTAGACAAGTGCTCGTTTGGTTTTCTCCCTTGGTTAAAAAATTACAAAAGAACAAAAAAAAAAATCACAAAAAGACAAAAATCACAAAATAATAAAAAAAATTTGTCATTCCAGAGTCAAAGAGTTAAAAATCCAAACAAAAAAAATCAAATAAACAAAAAAGTCCTAAGTTAAAAGAGTAAAAAAAAAACTTAAAAAATCAACTAAAAAAATTATTGCCAAATGATCTCTTATTACTTCTGTCAGAATAGTTGAGAGAGAGAAAATAATACATATTACATTTAATGAATTATATTGAATGTATTTTATACAATAAAAGGCCTGTATATATAGGCTAAGAAAGAGTATCATATTAGGAACCTAACTATGAGAAAAAATATCCTACTAGGAACCTAACTATAGTCATTCCTAAATATATCTAGGAAATCAATACCTAATATATTTAGGAATACCACATATACATTAACAACTTCAACGTCAACCTCAAACTAATATTAAATTCACGATTTCTTATACTTTCATTAAATTAAAGATGTTGGGAGTATTTTATCAAATTATTATAGATAGTCATAGGGACAGTACACTAGACAACTGATCGGTTCCTTACTTCATACTTCTAGTAAATTTATACTAATCAGTT